CCCCCAGTGAGAAACGCGACGGTGATATCCGGAGCAGCGCGCGCTGGTCCATCTCTCTGCGTCGGGATTCTGGAGAGAAGAAACGATAACGCGTATATATATATTATACATATATACGCGTCACGATTACGCGGGATTTCGACGCGAAGCCGACAACCAGCGGAGAGAACATTGCTGCGATTCTGACTAATCCTGTGAAGTGGCGCAATATTACGAATGTCGAAGACGGTGGCGTGAGTGACTGTTAGCTGGTGAAATTGTGAGAACAGAGTGTGTTGTTGTTGTTGTTTCGCGTTCGAAGAAGCCGAACAGAGCGAGCGTGATCGCGATATATTCGGTGATGTGGTAAATTTGATATTGACATTGTGAATCGTGAGTTCGTTGATTTGTATCGTCGCATTCGAGGTTGAGCTCGCGGTAAAGTCGTAGTAAATACGCGCGCGCCTCGCGTTGTTGTTGTGATGTCATATGTATTATCGTCGACGGTGGAATCGGAATTGTTCGCAGTGATGATTTGAAGTGCTCCTCGACAATTTGACTTTATTTATGTCTCACGTGAAGGCCGCGACATCGGACGTCTTCGGGATTCCTGCGATCGAGAGGTATGTAAGGATCGTTACGATGCCTATATAGGGTGTCCTAGAATCTTGATTAATTTATTTTCGATAATAGATTCTTGGTAAATTTGAAGTGGAATTTTATTTATTTATTTATTTATTAGAACCTTTTAATATTTAAAAATCTTGTATGTGAGATAAAACAATATTAAAATTAGAATTTTCCGAAAATAAACCATACATAAATTTGAGCAAACAATGGGATTTTTATATATTTAATTAATATTCTAAAGTTTAATTTATAAAATGCTATTTTCTTTCAATTATTTACGCGCCAGAAAAATATTAATGTTGCAATATTAAAAGAAAAAAAAGGCTTCGAATCGATCAAAGATTCTATTATCATTGATATAAACTGAAAAAAGAGATCATATTTATGCGAAATTTTAAATTTATCTTACACGTGCGTATTTTTTATCTCATATTTTTGCTAATATAAGAAAAATCAGTTTCGAAATCATAAAATTTTTAATTGAAATAACATCTGTATATTTTGGTATATAATATTACATACATGCAATACATAAACCGCTGGAAAAAATTCTGCATTACAAGATAGAACAGTAAAAGAAATTGTTACAGATCCTGAAAAAAATGATGAATGAAAATAAATGTACAAATTAATGATTTTTCCGATTTTTAATAAATTTCTGGAAGCAAACTTTAAAAAGCATTGCAATATTATCCAGTAATATCATTACACAGTGATACTGAAAATAACTATGTAATAATGCATTTTATTATATGTATAATATAATAATGTTATTGAGATATATAATTTCTTATCAGCGGTTTGTGTGTGTGTGCTTATGTTAATCTCGAATATTCGATTTATGAAAAATTTGATTTATATTTAAAAGAACTTTGTTCAAATTTCAACAAAAATTAAAAATTCTTGTCAGATACCCGAAATTTCGTACACAATGTTCGCAACGAATGGATGGGAGACAGATCGAACAATTGTATGCAAAATCTACGGGTCTCTCTGGCAGGCACAATACGAAAATATTGACGAATTGTAGAGTGCAGCGAGCCCATCTGGCGTTGCACGGTCTGCGCATATGCTTGTTTACATTTCCGAATGTATTTGGCTCAAGAAATGTTTGCATAGTACGCGCTGTACGTGATAAACTATGTAAATGTTTTTTTTCCAAATATTAAGTCTGCAATACGATGATATCAATTCTTTTTCTTTTTAAAGCCAGCCTTTTTAATTGAGTGAAAAGGAAATTACATAAAATGTCGCAAACTTTAGATATACTTGGTGAGCATATCCGATGGCGAAATATTCATGACCGCGCGTTCACGGCTGAGTCATTTAATTCGTTCACAAAGGCTTACGCATACAGTGAATAAATTTCAAACACAATATAGTACAATTGTGATGCGAATAGCGTTGTTACAAACCAGTAGATTATTAATGGCATAATCTATGTATAAGATTTTGATCAGCACTGATCTGACCGTACGAATCTTAAGATACAATTGTACATCACAATTATACATATTTGGAAAGCATATTTGTTTTTTTTTTATTTAATAATTTTATATTTGTAATATTTTATATATTATATTTGATATTTGATATTTAATATTTTTTATTTATTTAATATTTTATTATTTAATAATGAAAATACTTCTTAATTATAATTGGACGAAAGTAGCTTATTATTTATATTAATTTTTTTATTCACGGTTAATTTTAAATATTTACTTAATAGAGATTTTCTCGCCTATAATATAGGAAGCGTCTCAAATAACGATAGAGATAAAATATCGTATCTCGTATCACGATGTATTCGATAGTGAAATAATCTGAAAATATTTGATACCGTTTTTATTTTTATGTATATATAAATCAGTAAAATAACGAGCGCGTTTATTTATAAGGTTATTATCGAGCGCGATTATTTATAAAGTTATTATCGAGCGCTTTTCAATGTTTTGGACAATGAAAGAGGTAATTAGAAGAGTTATTATTAATGAGACTCATATAATGCATTATTTACTTTTAACGAAACATGCTAAATGTTTGACTATCTCATTACTTTTTACCCAGCTTTTTATATATTTATACACATTTGACACAAACCTTCGGCGATCGACGTAATTGAGATCGATCGATCTTGGGTTTCGGGATTGGGTCTTGTCGAGACGACGACGATAGGGTTATTCGCGCGCGCACACGTGTCGCACGAGCCTATTCTGGGAAGGATTATTACGCTTCCTGGAAAAGGCAAGAGGGTTTAAGGGAGACCGTATGAGCGCGCGTTTCCAAATCGTATACACAACGGTCCCGCTGTCCTCTTATCCCGATTTAGATCCATATGACGCATATACGGCGTACGCGTTTCGTCACTGTAAACAGCATGATCTCGTTATTGTGTCGCCTCGTATAGCTGTGAGAAACTGAGAGAAAAACCCTAAGCTCAGCTTACATTATTGTAGGCATAGTCTATTGAATGAACTCGTGTCTCGAGTGCGCATTCATAGAAATATCTCGATTGATTATTTTAGATTCGTTATCTTGAACCAGTAATATAATATATTTGCGTGTTTCGTAGTAATCAGTTTCAGAATAAAACGAACGAAAAAAAATCATTTTTATTATAATATGCTGAAAAGAATATATTTTTTTAAGACTCATTCACAATCTTTTTTATGAAATTTGATAAAAATATCTATTTTTTTCATTAAAATTAAAATTTATATTTGTAAGCATTTGATTGACATGTTTCCTAAGAAAAAAACTAATTTATGTAAAAATGTTTGTTGAAAAAGAAGTGTCTTTCAATTTTCCATTATTATTTTTTTCTATTATTAATTGTAAGAAAAATATTTTTCACTTGAATCACATGAATCATTCTATACATGCGCAAAAGTTATTTGTATAACAAACAATTATAAATAAACAGAATTATATAAGTAGCATTTAATTGAAGTGTTAGAAATTTGAATCAATTAATGAAATAGTGACAATTAATTGAAATGAAATAACAATTGTTTCGATCGTTATTCTCGGTCGGAAAACGATTTGCTTCGATTACCGTGAAGAACGATATTACATGCATTTCGGAAATGCATGCCTTGCCGCGTTATCATACATCGCCCGTTCCAGAGGTGGTCGACCTAACGAAAGTGAGTAACCCTCATCACGCATGCTCTCCAACCCCGATATCGTAAGACACTTGAATGAGGGGTGGATGATAGAGAGTGTCCGTGCTTCTCTCCTCCCCCGTAGATAATATTTACCGTCCTTTTCCTATCTCGGCGTACACAGGCATATCGCAGAAAACTCGCGCGCTGGCTTGTTGATAAGTGGATTTTTTTACCGCTACTTATACGAAGGGCTGAAAGTCTAATGATTCGTTTTATGCGCCACGCCTTTCTTCGAAAGATGGCTTCCTGAATATAGGAATTACAGTCTCCTCCTAGAGGACGCCTGGCATTCTGCAGATACGCGAAGCACCTGGCTTTCTGCACCAAAGTTTATAAAACTTACAAATGCACTCTCAGCCGTTAACTCGTGAATTTTCAAAGGCTATCATGCGAAATCATGCGAAATAACAATGTTTTGCACGAATCATGTAATACAAATAAAAAGGTCTTTTTTTTTCTATTTTATTTCTAACTTCTGTAACTTGCTTATGAGTGGTAAGCGTAGGAGATTTATCTTTCAAATTGTAACAATAATTTTATGAAGGAAAGTATTATTTTTTTAAATTGTGGAATGACAAGCACACAAGCAAAGAGAGCAAATTCACTCATGCCCATCCTGTTGCATGTGAGGTGAAATTGTACGCCTGAAATTAGAATCAGACAAGCTCTGTGTGTATTGCATCAAAGTTATGTAAGCTGTATAATTCATGGCTGCGGGGAGAAGAACCTAATCGATATTGTCTTACAGGATGTATTTACCAACTTCGGACGTGACGCGAAAACAGATTGACGTTACGAACCTAACGCCTGAATAAAATCTAGAGAAGCTCCCATCTCTTGTCTTATACGTATGTCACGACGGATGTAGATTATGACTTCATATCCTGTTCGTTGAAGCCGTTCCTTTCGCGGCAAGATTCGATTGAACGCTTCCTCCATCGATTTTATGTCTTTCGAAGTCATGTATTCGAAATTATACTTTTCGTCTCGACACGTAGCGAATTAATGATACTATATGGAAGTCATATGTCATACATCAATTTAGAAAAAAAAATTAAATATAGTTTTATATATAATTTTTTTATACAATATTATATATTTCTTAATCATAGTACGCGCTGTACGTGATAAACTATGTAAATGTTTTTTTTCCAAATATTAAGTCTGCAATACGATGATATCAATTCTTTTTCTTTTTAAAGCCAGCCTTTTTAATTGAGTGAAAAGGAAATTACATAAAATGTCGCAAACTTTAGATATACTTGGTGAGCATATCCGATGGCGAAATATTCATGACCTATATAATTTTTTTATACAATATTATATTTCTTAATTATATGTATAACTTTCAATGATAATTTTTTACGAAGAGAGACTGCTTTAATTTAACTAATTATAAAAAAAGTTGATTAAAAATCTGTCATTCTCTCTCAACAACATATTTTTCTTTCTGCCGTTTAACGTTATCGAGCAAGGAACGTATCGGAGTTAATTCGCGTTATCTTAGCTGTAGATTTGAGAAAAAGTTTAAGAAAATTTAATCTCTTATTACGCGGAAAGAGACGAGTGCGAAAAGACAGTTAATTTTTCGCGTCTAAAGTACACGCTTATTCTTAAGCTCGATATCTGCAGATCTCGCGAAGCCAAAAAGATGTGAGGGTCGTGGGAATATTTCAGATAGTTTACTATATATTTAACGATAAGCACATGTTCTTTGCTTGAATAACTCTCATTTTAGTGACAACGAAAATTCGTAAAAACCGCGTTTTTACTATCGAATTTGTTATCGAAAAGTTACGTCACTAAATAGTAAATTAATTGTTGTC